TGTCGAACCTCCCTCCGCCTAAATATGCTATATCCCAAGTATTTATGACGAGGTAATTTTAACAACAATCCCACGAATTTCTGGGCATACCGCAATGGTATACGGAAGTCATCAAGCCTGTTTCCATCATACACAGACTAAAGTTCTGTAGATCTTATGGGGGTGTGTGGCACTATTGTTATGGGTATTCACTTAATGGCTACGTTGTATTTTAATGATTCCGTTCTAAATGTCGTTTTTAACTACGTTTTTTTTTATTATGTCGTGTTCGCAGTTCAGACCTTGCTATTCTATTGAAAATGTCAGATCGATTGAGAACACGTTGGTTGTTGATTGAAAACATATATATATATGGTATATATACCATATGTGAGTTATGAAGTTTGTTTTTATCACTTTTACCTTGCCATTCGTGCCCGATTGTTTGCATTAATCTCATGCGTGGGTTAGCTAAATTGGGTTCGATGAACATATCGAATAAGGTTCGACTTGTGCAACAACAACGCATATTCTTTTCGTTTTTGAAAAAAAGCCACCAACATTTTTATCCTCACATAATTTACGCGTCAAATATTCATAGATAGTATTTTAAATATGATTGAAGCCAATTCGATAATGTTTTGCCTAGCGACAACTCGACACTGTGTTTCGGGCCTAAGTATAATTTTTTTAAAAAAAAAGTTTGAGCCAAGCCAACAATATAAATTTTACGGGTGGGTTAAGTTTTAAAATCTGAAATTCATAAATGGTTCTGAGCAAAGATCACCCATACTGCAATTTTCTTTTTGTTCTCCATAAAATCGCCAGCTGGCCAACGGTTTTTTCTCGGTCGACCCTTCCCTGTTTTTCTCTCTCGAAGTCAGCACACTTTCCAGTGGCTTCTCGGTTCGGCATATCATCGTCAAATATCGCTGTCGGCGTCGTTCCCGTTTATGCCAGTGCCTCCTTTGCCGCCCTGTCCCGTTTTCACTCTCGTCACCCCCGCCACCGCTGTTCTGGGCTGTTCTTCCACCACACCCTTCGTACTGTTTAATATGGAACACCTTTCAATAGCCTCGAGCGCGCGCCGCCCAGACGACATCAGCTTAGCACCGTTAGCAGCTTTGCTGATGGCCTTAAGCAGCAGAGGAATATGGCTTTCTCTTCTTAGCCACTACCTTTTGCAGAGAATAGAGCCAGCCAGCAAGCAAGCAAGAGAGCCAACTTCCTCGCGCACTCCCCCTTGGACCTCGCTATCCATTCGCCCCATCTCTCGCCATACAGCGCCACCCACTCAGCAGCCATTCGTAGCGTTGAACTCGCGGCTGAAAACCCCATGTCTTTCTTACGCCTTCGTCCGACTACTTTCACTTCGGCCCCTCGCCCCTTTTCCTTCGATCCTTCGTCGTCCCGCTGCTGCCGCTAGCCTTAATGTTGTCGAACCCCTATCGAATCCCATGTCTCTACTTCTCCCCGTTATGACTTCAAGCAACCCTCTACGCATTACGACGACCAGTGTTTCCCAAAGGGAGGTATATAACATGCGCGCTGTTCTTCACCACTCCAGGCCCGCCATCGCAACGATTACGCTGGGTTGGTATCCAGCGACTGATTCTAAGACCAAAGCTAAAGCTTCAAGCTAGCGCAGGCCTTCCAGCAGGCTTAGCTCCACCCAGGACCCCTTTGTAGCCCATTCTTCGTCTCCCCAGCCGACCTTTTCTCTTCACCATTATTCTTCTGACCTCTTGTCGCTACACAGGTCGGTTCAACTACTCTGCAAGGGCATGCACCTAAAACTCTTTTGCGGTAATATTATATCGTAGAACCGAATGCGATGCAGACGCAGGTTAGGGTTGGTACACGCAGTTCACAAAAGCTCCAACCAAGCCAGCAACAGCAGCGGCGGCGGCGGCGGCAGCAGCAGCAGCAGTAGTAGTAGTAGCATGAACGAGTTTGATCGGTGAGCGCACCAGACGACGGCCCTGCGGAGAAGCCTGCGCGAACTACAAAAGGCGAAGCAGGCACTCCAGGCGTCCTCGTTTGCCTCTGTCTGTGCTAAAAGTTAGACTAGTTCAGTTCGAGCTGAGAATCACCCAAATGGGGCCTCTTAGTTCACTAGCATCAGCATCATCACCATTGCTATCGTCATCAGCATCCTAACCAGAATGACGACCATAATCATCATGATGATCATTGGCGTCACCGCCGTATCATAAGCTTTTCTTCCAACTTTTGCCTCTTATCCTTCTCGACTATTTTGCCCGATGTTGTTGTCTCAATGTCTGTAGTCGCTTGTAGCCTTTCTATTCCACTGTTCAGTCTCACCTGATAGTCGTGACTAGCCATCAACGCTTGCCGGCGATCGTGGCGCTGGGTGATGATGCTGACTGTAGCAGACTAAAAGAGACTGCTGTCACGATTCGTGCCCGGCCATTCGTCCAGTTGAGAAAATGTCGACGTTAGAAAGAAGCAGAAAAGACTGTTTTGGTTGATTGCATAGCTGGGTTACAGTGGTTGCTGTTCTGTTCCAACTTGTCTTTTCGTAGCCGGATTGCCTCACGCACACACAGACAGAAAGACAGCTATTGCCAGATAATGAGTCGTACAATTTTGTGAGCCTTACGAACCGTAAGTTCACTTTATTTCTTTCGAAATAACTATCGCAGCTCCCTGCTACGACCAGTTCGTGTGACGTCGTCGCTGTGGAAAGCAAACTCTTGCCTCTTCCGTCCTATGGTAGTGATGCTAGAACTCGATTCATGACTGACTTGACTATAGCCTCGGCCAATAGGGAAACAAGCCCCTCTAACATCGATACATTAACTACGGATAGGATTTAACTGGTTGTTATCTTCCTTCTCAGCCCCCGCTCTCTTTATATTCCTTTGTCGGCCGTAACACGTTTGAAGCTCTCCTACCGTCGTTCCGTCCGTATATTTTTCGAATATCACTCTTCTCAAGGCTTCTGTATGCGAGATATTTTTTTACGTCACGCATACACACGCAGTTTTCCGCGCAGACCCAATAGCAACAGCAACGCTACTACGTCAGGCATTTCCTTGTCCATTTTAAATGTCGGTGGTGCTTTACTGCCTTTGTTCGGTATCCCTTTTCGGTCCTTTTCTGTCTGCGTGCATTTTCTCTTCCTGTTCCTTTATTTCTTCTTCGGTTCGCGTCTGGATGAAGTTGGAGAATGAACATCATCAAATCATCAATAGCTACAGAATCAGCACAAATAGCAGTAGCGGCAATGGCGGCGGCGGCGGCGTCGGTGCCTCACTCGAATCCCACTCGAATCCGGTCGCTGAAGCGGCCAAAGAGAAAAATAGTGGCTACCCCTACTGCCATCGCCATCGCTGCCGCTGGCAGCAGCCTAAGTTAGTCGCCGAAGCAGTCGTGCCTCTGCCTGATGTTGCTGGCAGGCGCAGCTGGGGCAGCGACGGCAGCCGCTCTCCCCAGCGCACAGAAGGACTCACGGTGAGCAACGACGATTACTGTTTCTACTATAACACTCCGGCTGGATTGCCTCTCCTGGCCGCGAGCGGTCTTCTCGCCGCTGCAGTTGTTATCGTTGTCTTCGTAAGCTCTTCGTCCGAACGGCTGCTGCTGGTACTACTGCGAACAGCCAGGCCGAACATTTCTGCCTCGATGAGTAGGTAGAAGCAGCGTGGCCTAAAGAGTCGCAGCGGCAGCAGCCACTGCCGCTCGCCATCACTCCAACAGCCACAACAACAACAACGATGGCAGCCGCAGTGAATAGGCCCCTCGGCGTGCGGCGTTCCAGCAATCGACCATATATAGAAGCAGCAGCAGCAGCCACGCCGACTGCTGACTTCTCTAGAGCCATGACGACGACGACGAAGACGACCACGACGATGACGACGACGAATCAGTCAGCGAACCAACGACCGACCGACGGTCAACTTCAAGATCAACTTTCGTGCTGCCGTCCCGATAACTAACCTATCGCCACTACTACTACTTTTAATAAAAGACGCGACAGCCATCTCTGCTATCATTCGAGCTGACGCTCTCCAGCAGCGTTTACTCGCACGACCGTTCTTTGCTAGTGAGGGACTACAACACTAACAGTATTAGTAGTAGCAGCTTTGGAGAAAACGCTCTAAAGAAAACTTCCCGAGCTCCCGACTGACCGAACGTCCGACCGAACGCCAGCCCGCCCGTTCGTTTGTTCGCCTTTGCTGGATCGTTGGCCTACGGTGGCGACGACGGACACATGGGAATTCAGGATCTCGGCGGGTGCGTCAATTCATAGTCGACTGTCGCGGCTGTGGCAAGATCTGCCATAGCGTCACCCGCGTCACCATTACAGCGGGCTACTGCCACGGCCGCCAGCCGTTCGTAGCCAAAATCGTCATAATCATCATCATCAGTACCATCGACTTCAACAACATCACGGCCATAGCCTTCGGGTCGCTGCTGCTGCTGTTGCCGCTTCTAATGCATCCCACTAATCTATCCTATACGCTGTGCGCGCTACGAAACAACGACAACAGCGCGAGTAAAAGCGACAGCCGCAACGACGGCGTACACCTTGATCTACCGGTGGGGACTCCAGAGTGGAGTAGAACGCGGAATAGAATAGAATCGTATGCTGCTACTGCTGCTACTGCTGCTGCGGCTGCTCGCAGTTTTACTCTGTTCTGTTGTTGGATAACGCCGGAGCTTAGCTTGGATGCCTGGATGGTTGGTTGCTTACTGGATGGCTACGGCCGCCGCTGGCGCCGCCGATTTCGCTCCTGCTGTTGGATAGCTTTCTTGGCGGCCGGCGGTCCTCCGGTCGGCTGCCTGCCTGCCTGTCTGCATGCCTACTTGCTTGCTATGGCTGTATCGCCTCACTGATCGTCGCGGTTTGTCTGACCCGTCCCGTCGTTCTGCGTGTCTTCGACGACTCTACTGCAAGCCGTCAATCGCTGGGTAATTCGTATTGGCCGCCAGACGGCGCTCGCGGCGCCGTCGCCGCCAACTGGGGGAGGGGGGGAAGTGTGGCCTCTCCGTCCTATTCGCCAGCTTTCCTATCACCGTATTCGGCTCCCGGCTGTTTCGTCGCTGCTGCTGCTGGTACGGCTGATGTTTCTGTCTGTATCGCCGGCTGCTTCTGTCTATCGGGCGGTCTGTCTGTCTGTCGGTCGGTCGGTCGGTGTTTGTGAATTCAAGATGGCGGCGCGCTCGAAGCGTCCACTGGGTTTCTGCTGCTGGTTGCTTCCATAACACGGCTCGCTGGGTGGAAGGCTGTTAGCGTGAGTGTGGTGATTGTGCTGCTGCTGCTGCTGATACAGTGGTGGTGACTGGTGTTGGTGGGGCTCGCTGCTGCTGCCGCTGCTGCTGCTGCTACTATGGTATAGCTAGGCAGGAAGGCAGGCAGCCATTTGGCGTTTGGTGTCCTGCGCCTTTTTTCAAGTTGATGTGCGTCTCGACGTGACGGATACGGTGTGTTGTTTGTTACTCGGAGAGACGGCAGTCGCTGGTCAATCGTTCGAGACGAACGAATTCGTGTGTGTGTGTGTGTGAGTGCGTGAACAAAACATTTAGGAATGAACGGGGTGCGCGAGGAGCATCATGTACTGGACGGATGGCGCTTTTCGGCAAGCTCCGGCCCGATTCTACATTCGAAGTGCAGGACTTACGAAAGTTGCCAAAAGATCCGTGCCAACAAACCCGTTGACGCGATCCATCTCTGCGATCTGTGCAGGTACGTTTTGAGCAAGAGAATCGAGGTGGCCTAGCCGATGATGGTCGCGGCCTTTTCTGCCTGTGGTGGTAATGCCGATTGGAAGTGCTATCCAATTCAGCTTCGGCATGATGAAGAAATCAATTGCTGCGCAGGACGAAAACTAGTTGAATTTAAATCGTCATATGGACGTGCGGGCCAACATAGTGATGAACGCTAAAGGCATCAAGTTGTTGGGTAATGGGTTCGAATCATGGCTGTGTAAGAGCCGTTCGTCGGTAGGCGGTGAAGCACTCCATCTCATACGGCAGAACGAGCAATGAATGTTCTTTTAGCGACGGGCTCTGTACTGGTGGTTGTGACAGCCGTTAGACATCGTCTTCAATAGAACCTGAAGTTAACGGTGTAAAATAGATCGGCGCCCTTTTCAACCTATGTAGCATTTTTATTCCCCAGCTTCTGCTACTACGAAAAATGAATGCGTGCTTCGCTACATGTTAGTACTATGATTTCCATGGTAGTACATAGTGCCGAAGAGCAGTTGAGTTTGTTTGCCCATAGCTGTCGCGTTCTGGTGATGTTTTCGTCCGCAAAATCGGACCGAGCTTGTTGAAGGCTACTAACACGGAGTCACTGCTGTGAAAGTGAAAGGTTGAAGGTTTTCTGCAGAGGAAAGGGAGCCGTCGCAAGTTCTGCTATTGCCGCTTGCTGAAAATTCATTGTTCGGATCATTGTTATGTGTTAAAATGGTTTTAAGATACTCTTCACAAAACTGGAATAATATTAGCTTAGTCAATAATAAAACCTATTTTTGATGGCCATAGATTTATAAATTAAGTAATGCGATTACGAGACAGACGGGCAGGAAGGGGCAACTCGAATGGAACGCAAAGACCTCATCGAAGTGGTTGTGTGGTTTACAAATTTGACTTCTACTGTGTCGTAATGACGGATACAGATGTTGCTTCACAAAACAATAACAAAATTCAACGTATACCTACGTTTTAGTCATCAGCGTACGCAGATGTGCTTCAGGCCATTTCTCTTCTAAACGTAAATATTTCGTTTACTGATCTAAAGCTGCTACGTGTTACATTTGTACAAGCTCAGTCATCATTTGTAACTTCGACGCGTTCTAAGTTTATGCATAGTATATACATACGGAATTACATAAATCCACTAGTTTGTATTGACCAAGAACCTCATTGAACCTTGCGAGAATAACTTTAATTTGAAACCAACAATCATTTTGCAGCGTATTTTTTCTAACAAAAATACCCACATGTGTTAGCGCAATTCTGGTTAATCGCACTGAGCCATATCGTTCTTAAACTGTGGCCCCCTTGAAATCTAAAACATGAAAAGACGAGTGGGAGTTGCTCGTCGTAGGCGACGTAATGATGATAGCATTCGCACAGAACAGGTGGCAGCACCTACAATGGGCTTGTTGTACAAGCGAAGGAAACTTATTGTTGGACTGAAAAACGGGCCGACGCATAGAAAGAGAGACAAACAGAAGTATTAAAAAGGCCCAATATTTGTTCCGAAAGCTGTTACTATCGAAAATCGAGAGCGCAGGCCAAATCACAACAAACAAAAGACTAGAAAAATCAAACTGGCATAGTCGTAGCACTGTCCATCTTCGTCTCAGAAGTATGCACAGCGCCAAATGAACACAATATTTATGGTAAACACAGCGTCCTCGGTAGCAGTAATAGGCGTGAAACATTAAATGAATACGGCATTGCGTTCCAATACTGCTGCTGGTAATGGTTGATACTTGGTGGTCATGGAATAGCGCGGATTTGTGGGTTCGTCATGACTGGGTCTAGGTCTCTCCTTGTCGGTCACTACGTAAGCGCCGTCCACGGTGGGTGTTGCGGGTTGTGCGTCTGTTCATGTGTGTCTAGCAGTTAGTCAACATATGAGTCCCTATGTGAGTATGGCTGTAGATAGATGCATACGCGTTCCTATGTGCTGAGGGGTACGGGGCCCCCGAATGCAGCCGTCGCCGTAGCCACCGCCAACGACGTCAACAGCCACCAGCAATGAGCTCAAACGAGGACCGAACGGCAGCGTCGTTTTTGACTACTGCTGCTTTTACTGTTGCTGTTGTGGCTGCGGTCGCTACAAGGAGGGAACATGCGTTCTTGGTCGTCAAACAGCAGAGAAGATATAGTCGGGTTAAAGGACGAAGAGTAAAAACAGCTATAGCGGTAAGCAAGCGTTCTGAACGCCTAATGCCAAAGGCCGCGTTCTCCTATAGTTGTAGTAACTATATGAGTCAGAGTAAGAGTAAGAGTAAACTGGACGCTCTGGGAAAAGCAATGGCCGCAGCCGCAACAACAATAACACGAGAGTATTAACGGGAACAGCGGCAAAAGCAGTACATAGTAGTAGTATCGCTGCGTCGGGGCAAGGCAGAGTCGAAACGCTTCAGAACTGAACGCAATCAAGCGGACCACGTTTCGACGGAACAGCGCAGCGCTCAGAACGAAAAATTCATGCAGAATCGGAATGCCGACTGTGATGACAATGATGTTGTGTGCAATAATTGTTGTAGTGCTGTAGGATACGATCATGTTAAAACTGTGGTATTTTTCCTTCAAGTAGTATGCTTTTTTACATAAAAGAGAGAAAGAAAAGAAAACGTGAAGTAAACAGCTGAAGACGAGGTTATAAAAATATTCAGCAATGCTGTTCATATACATATTCAACAATCTAGAGAAAATGAGGATAACGGTGTTACTCCACAGCCGGGAGGGGGGACGGGGGGACGGGACGATCGTGTCCGCTTGCAGAAGGCGTTTCGTAGAGAACGGAGATGCTTTTGCTCGGGCTGGAACTGACTGATTGGCCTTACTAGAAAAAAATCTCACGACAAGAACTATACGCAATCGCTAATTAATTCGCATTGAAGTGAGTAAGTGAGGGATCACAAAGGATTAGAACAGAACTGCCAAATTCGTCCAATAGTGTAGCGCCGCTCGTGAGTGTCTATTAAAATATGTGTGCGAAGAAGAAATTTATCCAGCGTACTTATTAAAAATGGGGTAGGCCGAGCTGCCACGAGCCAACAAAAGTTGAGAAAACATAAGAAATGACAGGTTAGGTTAGGGACGGCAGGCTACACAGTGACCTTGTAAGGAATATTGTACAAGAAAGAAGTGGACACTAGAGGTGATAAACCTTGACATGCGAATGTGCTTTGGATAGTTCATCTGTCACGCAGTTCAAACATATATCGATATAACTGTTTACAAGTGTATGTTTCTAACGGAAAATACGTAATTGTATAATGAACGTACGTTAACGATTTCGAGACAGAATCTATAATGATATGAACTTCAGGCCGTCTTTACTCGATCCTCACAGCAGAGATGAAGGCACATAGCCACGCAAATAGATTTTTCGTTTTCTTCCTCATCTTCTTCTTTCTATTAGTTGTGCTAAATACGGCATCAATTGTGATAGATGGGGATAGTAGTTGCATCAAAATGATTGTTCCTATTATTGCCAAAGTTCATCCATTCACAATCACTGTGGCGGGTTATCTTGTCGAATGCTATGACGATTAGTACATCAGTTTGTTTTAGAGTCTACACTAATTGTACGAAGCAAAATAGTTTTTTTTTTTTTGTTACAGTTAAAGTTCGTAAAGTTTTTCTTCAAATTGTTTCTATTGTAACTTCTCATATTGTCTAATACGTGTCAAGTCACCAACGAATGCCTGTCTGGCTTGATGAGCAAAAGTAAGCCGACTTCACAATAAATTTTGTTAGTGTAAAAATTCGATGCTCTGTTAGGCCTTTATTAATTACTCGCCTATAGCCATTGCTGATGTTGCTTTCCTTACAGCCCATTAACCGTACTTGCAATCAAACCAGCCCAGACAATAGTGCGGTAAACTACTCTTAAATAAAGCACTCATTGTACTGATATTGCCTTAAAGCCACTTATTCTTCTGATTTTAGTGTAATAAAGTGCTGAGACATCAGAGCGCTGATCGTTGTGATTCCATTTTAAAGCTGATCATGGGGACCCACCGTAGATAAAGCAGTATCGAGTATTGTGTTCGACTGAAAGGTGGCGGAAACATTTTCGCTTAATGCATTTTATTGGAAATTTTATTAAAAAAAAAAAGTTCTTCTACCAGCTGCAAAAACCTGATTTGGTTACCAGTGACTCATTTACTTTAAGTGAATGATGATCTCAGTTTAAAACGTGAAGTTACTTCGGAAAACAAAGTCGATTGAGCTATAACGCCATTGAAAATTATTCTTAATATTGATGTAGGAGTCTATTATTTTAAATTAATTAAAATGCATTTAAAGTAATGAAACGAAAAAAAATCGCTTTCGCTTGTAGCAAGTTTCATCAGCTTTTTAGTTAAGTTGATTGTCTACCGTAATTGTTTGCTGCTTTTCCCGAAGCTAATAATCTGCTGTCATCTAAAGGAGGCCAACGAGATATTGAAAGCTGAAAAGATCAATGAAGTAATAACAAAAAAATCACGAACATATTTAGGCGTTTATTTAAGTAACGTTCTTTTACACAGCTTGATACTGTTGTTTGTTTATGTAAAATCAGGGCGCTACCATAAATCGATAGAAAGATTTTAAAAAAGCCGTTTGCCAAGCAAATATACGGGTAGGAAAACGTATTACCCTAAGCACAGCTATCGTGCCCTTTACCTGAATCGATAAGATTATATCTCTCTCTCTTCTCCGTTGCAAAACCTCACGAGAAATATACTGATTACGTTTTGAAATATGTATTTATGTGCAATGTTTTCTACAGTCTGTCAAAAAAAGGCATCGACTTAACTCGGTTTGCCGTATCCAGAAATTTAGTTCCTTCTGTTATCTGTCATGTACTTGTTTAAATTTATAGCGCGTCCTTTGACTTAAGAAAGGTACTGTTGTTGAACTGAATTAGATAGTACCGATCACCACTCTTCGAAGAAATCCATAAAAATATAGGTTATGGACGTGTTAAAATTGCATAGAATAAGAGAGAAAATTTCTAATCTTACTTACGCTGGCCAACTAATTCCATCATATTTTCCATCATAAAACAGTTGGTAAATTTCACATGACGTAGCACGCCACAACAAAATGCATAACTTACTACTTACGACGCATTACAAAACTTAATAGGAAACGTTCTAGAAAGGATTTATCGTTAAGTTCCGTAGCAGTAATAGTAATATTATTACTACACAATTAATAAATTTAACCATAAACGATATCTAAAAATTGCGCGACATGTTGTCTTGTTTACTTGCAGATACATACATACCTTGCAGTTACCGTCTCATCCGGATATGACCTTTGCGTGGAATCGGTTACGAATAGAACATTCAACTGGCTTCGGGATTGAATTTAATCCGCTAGATGCGCTCAGGCTTGTCTCAGAAAAGAACTACATTCCAAAAGTACGTAGACAGGATGCACTATATATATATATATATATTTTTTTTTTAATCTAACTATTGTACCTAGCTTTAACCCAATCTCTTAGTAATACTTCATTGATTGGAGTGGCAATTGAAGAGCTGATGATGTATGTTTGTTTAAGTACGAACTGATAAGGAAAATAGAGACCATTTCCATGTTAAGGCTACTTCCGCGTATCAAAAACTGAATCTTCTAGCCAGGAACTATGAAACCGGGAAGTTTACGTTGGTGGTAATATTATTTGTTATCCTTTAGGTGTATCTATTTTCCTTTTGAGGCGCAGTTGCAAACAGCTTTACGTAGAAGGCTTCAACTAAGTTGGTAAAAAGTATGAACCCTGTTATTGTATGAGCGTCCTTAGAAGGTCTCAGTGGCCTTTTAGATTAGGCAAATAGGGAGCAATGTTTTTGATTGACCAAGTCGTACCGGGTTCTTGCTAGGCTCAGTGTTCGATCAGAAAGTCTTGTGGTTAGGGAATATATGGAACGTTCGAGTTTATGAAAGCACTGGCTTCAAGGATACATTTTGTATAGACCGCAATAATTATTTCTAAGTCGTACTATCTGCTCCTATGCACGGGGCTCTTCTTAGAATGTGCGGTATGTCGAAAGAAACAAGACTTTACAACTCCAAACGAAATTTTTTGGTTTGTGTTAGCAAGTGCAGTAGGTAGTACCAATTTCATTGGACAATGAGAACGAAGATTCGATTTTCTCGTCAACGTGTTACGCAGGTCGCTGTGGCAGAAGCTTGGCGAGAAGCCAGACAGGCACCAGATTTGCCAGAACCAAAAGTTCCCGACAGCCATAAATTCGACTGGACCTTTACCACTAACTATAAGGGCACGTTATTATCGGACAAAGAGGGTCGAAAGTTGAAGGTACTTGCATGTTTAATCTCGACATGTAAAGCACATTGTTGATGATATACAACTACAAAAGAGAATTTGCTTCGTAAATATCTTCTAAAATATCTCGCTATAATGAAATTACTACTGCCATACACTTGGACTGAGATGTCAATATTACATTTTCCGCACATGCTAAAAAGCCTTTAAAAATCGCCTAAGAACTAGACCCTAGCATCGTCCATCTTCAATTTGTGAAAAAAGCTATCCAAATTAATCCATGGAAACACCCATACGTTTAACTAAAAATTCCCACTTAATTCTCTTGGAAGTGTCTAATAAAACGAGGGTAAATTGTTAAATATTGAACGCATCTCTTAAAGACGAGATTTTTTAAAAAAAATTAAACTTTTTTTCAAACTACGACGAGTTTTCAAAATGAACATTGAACATTGGCTTTGGGCTCGAGTGCCATTTTATTCAAAGACATGTTTAATTCATAGGACTATTGACTTGACAACACAATTATCCTCAGATAAATTCCTGCTTACATTTATAAATATTTTAGTAAGAAAAAAAATTGTTTTTCTTTTTCTCGCGCGCTCTCAGGAAGTGCCTACAACGGAACGTATTGACATGTCGAAACTTACGTCCCGAGACCCCATATACTTCTACCAAGATCTGTGCCTCTTCGAGGATGAACTTTCAGATCACGGTGTAGCGAAACTCAGCGTTAAAATTCGCGTCATGCGTAGTAACCTTTTCGTGTTATTGAGATTCTTTCTGCGGGTCGATCAGGTTCTGATTCGAATGAACGACACACGTCTTTACTGGGAACAGGGAACTGAGTACATACTTCGAGAGTACGCAGAAAGAGAGCACAAGGACGCAAAAAATCTTAATGTATGTATAGTTATGCAAATGAGAATTACCTCACTATATATATATATATATATATACTTATGTGTTGAGTTAAATATATCCAGTCAATGAATCACCTTACGAGCCAGGTTATCAGGGTAGGCCAATTCTGCAAAAATAACCATTTGTTTGATCATTGATTACAGCTCCCCACGAGCATTTTGACAGATCCCGTGGCCCTGAGCGAGCATCTACCGGTTGTATACACGCACTACGAACGACTCGACTTCCCCAAGTGATGTCAAAGCGTTAACAAGATGCAACAAAAATTACATATTACAAATAGGTTTTCAGTATCAATATTATCTAAGAGCAAAGCCTCGAACGCCAGATACGAGCAAGAGGAAAGAAACAATGTGATCCAAGTAATTATGTGATGTCAGAAAGCGAGAATTATACGAATAAGTGTCTGAAGCTATTGTCTGAGACCGCAAACGTCAACAATATGCTCCTGTCACTGTAACCGATATTGTTTTCTTTATGAATAAGTGTGGTGTTAAACGTGAGGAGCCTATTTATAAAGAACTTCCGTTGTTGAACCATCTTACTATTGTATTGAACTTATTAAAAGTTGCTTGTAATTATTACTTAGACGAACATCTATCATAGACAGGATACATTATTTATTCCTAAATGCGATTAAACTTCGGGGCACTTAATACTAACCGCGATTTTCCTTATAGGCGTTAAGCCATGATGCTATTGATTGAAGTGTAACTTGAATGGCTATCATGGACTGAATACGAGTGGCAAGCGTTACCAAGCTGCATCATCCACGTGCTGCTTCCATCTTGCTCTTAACACCAACCTCGTATTTCAATAAATGCTATCATTTACCTAAAGCTAGACGCTCTGATCGGCTTTCTTTTTTCTACATATTACGTACTTTATTGTTGGACACTTGTCAATTCTCTGAGTAACTTCGTGAGCTCCTATCTTTTGTATTTTGCCTGTCGAACGTTTGTTAGGAATGTCCTTCCGTAAGGAATGTGGTAGATTTTGTGTACTTTATATACTCCCGTCGTGACTCATAAGACACCTTTTTTAATTTTCTTGGTTTTGACCTATTTGCGGTTGTTATTATTGTTGTTGCTGCTGCTGCTGCTTTCGTGCACGCCGTCTGTACAATCTGATCTCCACATTTGTGCTTGCGACTTATTGGCTTATACTCTCCAGGGTCGACCGGTTCGGTCAGCTTGGCGGTATCCACAGCTTCAGTGTCAGCTTCAGCGGCCCGGGGCACTTTATCCCCATCGCCTTCGCCGGCGCCTCGCTCCTCGCTTGTTACTCCACCCCCGAGTAGCGCATCAGCTGCCCCGCTCGTTGGTACGCCATCCGCCTTGGGTATTCCGGCCGGCAATAACGCCCTACAGTTGCGACCCTCCGAAGCGTGCATTCCTTGTGAAATCTGTGGCCGTAGATTCCGCAGCCTGGCTGACGTGCGCTCCCATGTGGCCGCGATCCACCTTAAAAACTCGGAGGACCCCGAGCGGCGGTTCCAATGCGAGTTCTGCCCATTCCGCGCGTACACTAAGACGTCCATTCGCCAACACATGTTTCTGCACACCGGCGAAGTGCCATATAAGTGCGACCTATGCAGTTACGGAGCCCGACAAAAGTTCCATCTCGACAGGTTAGTCTAACAGCAGAAAAAAGAGATTAAGGTATTCATGTTGTTGCGCAGCAAAACTCCCAGTTGTCTACAACTATACGTATCTTCAGCGTACGAATTTGTTTGGAACCCCTACTTGATTTTTGCCCTTAAAACTCAATAAGGCATTTTTATATGTGTTACACTTCGACTCAGACGTTGATCTTTTTTTACGAGAACTGAATTTATTTCTAGTCCTTTTTTGCGAATACTAAAAGTGCTACTATATTTTCAGCGTATCTTGAAGTCGCTATCACTGAACATGATTAAAATGTGTAAGATAAACGTGTTTATATAAGTGTGCGTTCATATCCGGATCATTTTTAGGCATCGTCAAAAGGCGCATGGAATGGCGCCTACACCGAAACGCGGCCGTTTCCCCGGCCGGCCGTCGAGTGAGCTTTCAATTCTACCCGTAGGGCCGCCTAGCGCTTCACCACCAAACGGCAGTGGCAACGGCGCATCCTTGAATCCAACTACGTTAAACGGGCACTCAAGCGATCCTGAGTTGCTGACACCGTTCCCACCGGTGTTTCCGCCCATGCTTGACCCCGCCGCCCTGAAGCTTGCCTCGAATCTATTCCAGCTGATTTCGTCGTCTAATGGCGGAGGCAGCGGAAGCAGTGCCGCAGGAGGAAATAATTCGTCGGCTTCAACGGGTTCGGATCATAGTTCGCAGGACAATGACGTTTAAATGAAAGGCATCTTTGTTCGATTACGAAAGACGCGAATGATGACCCCAAAGCCATCTAGCAACAGTCATCAACAATGGCAGCCATAGGCGACGCACCACGCGGTTTACCTGCACGTGCGGGGCCGTATAGAGCAAACTGTTCAGGGAAAGCTCAGAAGACACGAAATGCTCGTTTCTCGTTTCGACGATGCGAAAGCGAAGTCGATAATGAAAACAACCCTGTAAATGTGTTGTGGATGACACGTAGGGGACTACTTTCGGCAGTCCGCGCTCATCTAGCTAGCAGAAACCGCTGAAAGTGAGACGCATGTAGTGACAAAACAGACAGACAGTATTGGGGCGAGCTGTCTGGAACTCGAATGTAGTTCTCCATGAAAAAAGGGGGTGAGGGATGGGTACAATGTGTAACAGACTCAGTTTACCCCTCTTTTTGTGAACGTCCTGAGTCAGCGTTGTGCGATAGCGGCCAGCCGACCAACTAGTAAAAACAATCTTTTCTCCTTCCCCGTCTCCTAAGTCTGACATAAACGTCCGTGTGCGAAATATTGACTTAGATAAAATTTGGTCCAAGAAGTCCGATGACGACGAAAACGAAGCATTCCATATTTATGTTAAAGAAGAGAAGAACGCTCTGTCAATGACCTACGCTGCCTAGCCAAAGCGGAGCTAATCCAGAAAACGAGAACACTTTTGCAACTGCCCATTTCTCTACTGATCTAACCTATATATCCGCTAAAAAGGAATACGGTACGAACCTCCAAAGGAAGAGCTGTAACGTTTCAGTTCGATGCGCGCAGGCGTAGTGCTATTCGGCGTTGGCGCACACGCAATCCAGTCAGTCAATATAGAAAAAAACCGTATACACACAAACCACACTACAATACGTATACTGCAAAACATTTACTACTGCAACAACTGCTATTTCTAGTAAACAATAGCGGTGCTACTACCATAAAGCAGAAACTAACGTAAGCTGTGAAAACTGGAGAAGAAGGTGACATTGCAACAGATGACCCAGGCGACGCCGGTTGATTGATGATCTCTTCCATGCCAAATCTTCCGTACGACGACGACGACGACGACGACGACGACGACTACGACGACAACGACGACGACGACGATGACGACGACGACGACGACGACGACGACGACGACGACGATAATTGCATAATGATAGAATATGCTGATGATAGTGCTAATCACCGCTAGAGATGATGAAGGTAAAGAGACAACGCAGCGTTGAGCTGCTCGCTGGCCGCTGAATTTGCGCCTTATATTTGCACCAATTGTAAATTATTGATTGATTGTCTTCTATTATTACTATTATGATAACTATTAGATTAAGTATGTTGACCAAGACAAGCGATAAAAATCCAAACAGACATGAATATTATTAATTAATTATGTCAACGTAGAAAACGAATACGCTAATGAAATAGGTATTCTGTGAGGACCTTTTGTACAGTACCAAGCTATTGGAAAGAACCTATTTCATCGCAACGGGGGTCTTTCAGGGGGATGCGCCGCACTAGGCGGGTTGTAACCCTCCTCTAACCGGGCGTTCTTCTTGATTCGCTAGAAACACGGAAACGGGGAGATAGGACAGAAGACAATCGGACAGAGGAGACAATATGATGATGATAATAAGCTAACAGAAAAGAAATTATAGCTAGCTATTATTAGCGCATAGATGTATCTCGCCGATTGCCTTTGTCGTCGTAGACAACACACAGAGACCAGTGCAAAGTAACTTCCGACCCCGACAATGCCATCTACAGTTCAGTGCCTATACGCGTTTTTGTCAAACGTAATTATATGAAGAAAGAAAATACATACCTACGACATTATATTAACATAAACAAAACACGTAAGGAGAGGATGAAATGAAAAACCGTGACGTTCCGACAAAATACATTCCATCTACGATAGTGCACGTACGTTCTTGTAAAAGGGAGTGAGGGCGGTGACCAGGGTTAGTCATGGACAGTTTGCACCTTCGACGATGAATTCGTTCTTGTTGTCTAGCTGCTGTCCTCCGCCATGTTAACTCGAATGCCCACCAGGCGCGTACGGCTTCGCACAAGCATATACAATAACAACAATAGCGACTATGTCATACTATATATAAATGTATATTATATTCTTAGGGGATAAAGAAGGAGTTAGCTGAGGCTAATAATGATGAGACCATTATTATTATGATAATTACTATTACCACAACTGCTATATACTTTTGGCGACGAACGTATTATTTTAGATATGTCCCTTCTATTGACACGCCCCGGAATCCCAGCGATATACATATATTGTAACAACAACTTTAACGACAATTACAAATACCACTGCAACTACTATTACGACCGTCTGCTGCTTGCCTGCCCGTGTGAGTGTTGTTAGGTAAATGTAAGTGTACAATAATATTACAGCGTGTTGGCGATGAAGACCCTCACCCTCGTTTTACGTCGTCTGCAGTATACAGCCTTATCCGAGTGTTGATCTGCAGCCTTTGACGTGCGAGGGCGAGCATACGGGCTAGGCTATTGAACAATATAGACACAGACACACACGCGCGTGCGCGCGCGCATGCGCACACACACGAACCCAATATACGATCTCAGAATTCGCGCCAAGCAAATAGCGCTCTTTGTCAAGCGACAAGCATTAAGTGGGCCGCCATCAAGGGCATATTGTACTACCGTACTATGACTACTACAAGTTCGATTGTCATTATTACTACGATTGCGACATCATGTATGAGCAGAAGTGGAAAGCTTGGTAAAAAAAAAAGAAAGAAACGCTGCGCAAGCTGCTATCGCCTCCATCTATTAGCCATATGATATAATGCGTATACAAACTGTCGCAGCTGTAATAATAATGATGATATTTATGGCGATATAAAAAGTAAAAAAACGAGAAAAACGAAAAGATAGAGAAAGATATAGAAATAGAGCTGTAGGATAAGAAAGCGGTAGTTGACAGGATGATGAAAGACAAGACAACGTAACAATGACTTAAGTGAATGGTAAGCCAACATTTACAAGGAGTAGAAATTGTGTCTTCGAGATCTCGTATTCTTGTTTTTTTACTGCTCATTGATTTTTGTTCGTTTGTTCTTTATTGTATGTGGGTGTGCACATCGACATACAATCATATATGGCACAGCAAAATACAGACAGAAGACACAACTGTATTGTTCAATTAGGGGACGTATACAAGAGACTAGACGGAATAGGGAAGTGGATTAAGCTTTTCCTCCTACTCTATGCGTGAAGAAATGATCTAGGGCTAGAGAAACACAAAATGGTGTAAACTTTTCTGAAGACAACGGACGGACGTACGCACGGATAGAGAAGAATACATTGCAGATAGACACTTAAGTACAGACACGCAAAAACACGAACGTAAATTAGATCGACACGCTACATGCTTGCGGCCGCGCACCGAGGAATATAGCGTGAATGAGATATATCACAAGAACATAGTTCGGGAAATGCGGAAAATGCAGTTCAGAGCAACAAACACTTTGTCATAATGGACTTGCCCAGTCTCGACGGAAGCAGCTGAAGCGAAGGTTGTCGATTGGCTTTATTCTGCGTTTGGATTTGCGTTACAAACGGGCGACGTTTCATTTTATCATCTAAGTCGAGAGGAAAAAAAGAAAAAACAGCTTATAACAGGCGCCTTTGAAGCATACGCTCCCTTTTTGGTATCCCAGTGACAAGTCCAGGACGGACGCGATTCAAAGGGGGTCCCTAGAAGTTGGTCCCTAGAACGGGACTCCGGTAGTGCAAAAAGGCGTGACGCAGAGTTTTAACTCGATGGGGAACGGCCCGTTTCGCCAGATCCCCAGCGCCGAAAAACAAACAATTCGGCGAATGCACATAGCAAACCCGATTACAATAATATGGATGTAAACGGGTACCCAAAGGATTCCCCCCAAAGGATTGGATGATAAACAATGAGCAACTGTTAAATGAGTGGGTATGTGAATATAACTGACCGACTGACTTTGGATGGGAGCATGTTAATGCTGAAATGAGAAAAAATCATGCGTTTTCGGTTGAGGTCTTTCACTCAGATCTTTAGAAAGTTCGATATCGGCAATGCAGTGGCCAGACTATGGTACCAGGGCATAGCTAGCACGAGAACAGATAGGTATTACAATCTATAAGCGTGTAGGATCAACAATCCATCAAATACACATTCCATATTTAGATGTAAGTAAGCCGACATAT